CTTTTTTAGAAGTTATACACGGCGGCCGTGCCAATAGACACTATCGTCGGCAAAATACAAACTGCGAACCACGAACTGCAAACCAGTAAAATGCGAACTTTTTTGCAAACCAAGACATATTTTAATGACCACTACGGTTATGATATTAAAAAAAACTTTTGCTTGTCATATTTTTAATCACTATGTTAACTCTTCTTTACACACAGTTTTACATTTGATATTAATACTTGCATTAATATCTTTCTTTTTAGCTAGAGATTTTGAAAGTTAATAAATATATCTTGAGATATCTTATTTTTTCTTGTTAAAATTGACATTTTTGATTTCCAAAAAGTCTTAAAACCTAAAATAATGAATTAACTTTAAAATCTCTAACTAAATATGGACCTAACACACTAAGGACCATTTGTGGAATTTTTTTATAAATGAAGTAAAAGATAAGTATGAGTTTATCTCTGATGTTTCTAACTTTTTAACTAATTTTCCGTTAACTGGCAGCCATTTTTAAAAAATATTTTTTTATCATTTGATTAAAGAACAAACAAACTATTTTTAAGACCTTATCTTGAATGTTAAATGTAAATGTTATACAATTAAAAAAAAAAAAAAATATTAATTTTATATTTGATAAAATATATCTCATAAAAATAATATTTATTATTAGGTATAAATAATATTTAAACCTAATATTAAATATTATTTTTATGAAATATATTTTATCAAATATAAAATTAATAATTTTTTTTTTTTTTATATATATATATAAAATAATAATAAATATATAAATATAAAAAAATTATATTTAATATATATATATATATATATATATATATATATATATATATATATATATATATATATATATATATATAATATATATATATATATATATATATATATATAAAACAGTATGAAAAAATGTTTACAAATATCTTAACATGCATTGTGTGACTGGCTACACATCAGTGTTGTCCGCGTTTAATCGAGAAATGCATTCAGAACATTTTATGAAGTAAGTTTATGTTTATTCTACATTATTATTAGAATATTTCAACACACTAAATATTACTTTTTATATTATTTGGCTAAGGTAAGCAGGTTTTGTGAGAAAAAAAAAATGCTTGAAAGTTTTTGAAGTTCTAAGTTTTTTCTTTGTATTATTAGATCTTCATAATTGTTTATATTAGTTTTTTTTTTTTTTGTTTTTTTGTTTTTTTGTTTTTTTTCTTTAGGTGCCCCAAGAAATCCTTACGGTCTTATCACCACGGAAGAGCATTTAATAGGAAGTTCACGCCTCCTTCCCAACCGATATCGCAAAACTTGAGGTTGTCACGTGTCACGTGTCACAGCTGCTCTAGATATTATTTTTATTTTTATATTTTCCTTTTGTTTTCATTTTTACTTTGTATTTATGAATTTAAAAGTTATGTTCATTAAATTTTAAATTTGTCTGGATTTTATTCTGCATTTTTTTTTTGTATACTTGTATTGCAACTTCATTAAATATTTTTATGAAGGATAAATAGTTTACTTGGTTACATAATGTTAACTTATTATCATTACAGCAGTTTTATTATTGAAAGACCTCCAGTAATGTAAAGACTGATACTACTGTGAATAAAATGCATAAACAGCTACAAAAAAGTATTTTAGGAATAATATTAGTAAATTCAAACAGCTATTTGATACATTATATAGGTAATGAACTAAAGTGTTCACAAAATTTATATTTTTACAGATTTAAATGTTTTATGTTATTAATTTTTCATACAAATTTTATTTTATTTCTTAAAAAACTGTGTTTCTCTCATTTATATTCATTAATATCCATTTATATGTTGCATGTTCAAAAACCAAAACAATTTGTAGTTTATTTTTCAAAGTTGATAAACATCTGATACAAGGTATCAGATATACTTTGTATGTGGTTATAGTAATCTGATATAAGGTATCAGATTATTTAAAACCTTGATGTTTGTGTTAAGGTTATTTAAGTAAAGCCATGATCCAAGCAGGGATCCGGATTATTAAAAGAACTCAGGATTTGAATGTCACAAAAAGATTCAAGTATTGTGAATTTCAAAATAGGTATCAGACATGTAATGACTTGCAAGGTTGCTCAGTTTTATGGTTTTTTATTGACAACTGACAAACATCAAAAAGAATGTACAAGCAACAAACTTTTTGGTTTCATTTTATTTCTGAAAATTCTTTTGCATTTTGATTATATCTCAATTTCAGAAAATTTTTTAGACTTGGATTTTGTTGATAGAACAGTAGTCATTTTTTATTTTTGTTTTTTAGGTATTGGCAGGCTGTACTTGAAGACTTACTTTCTTGCAACAAAATCAAATGAACCTTCAACTACAAACCGATTAAAATAATTTTTATAGCAGCATTTTCTTAGAAGAACTCTCCCTTTATTTTATTTACTAATCAGATTACTTGTATTTCATAATTTCTTTAAATTATTTTTGGAGATATTCGGATTTAAATTTTGGTGTTTTACAAAGTTTTAAGTTTAAAAAATTATTTTACATATAGATTTTTAGTTTTTTAATAATTATTTTTTATTCAAAGCTGCAATTATAGTTGGAGTTTCCAATTTTTGTAATATTTTTTCTGCAAATATCAATTTGATATTATGTTTTCAATGTGAAAGTATAATCTCAAGATATAATTTAAAAAATGGTATGATGTGGTACATAAAAATACGCTTTGTTTTCTTATAAATAAAATTTAAGTTTAGCGCAAAATGTCTGTACCGATAGAAACCACTCACAAAAACTTTTGATATTGATTGGTCTTTTTAAATTTTACTGTTATTTTTACATGGTTTCTACTTACTTACAATGACAGTAAGTGTGATTGAAAACAAAAATTAAAGGCGAGTTTCCACTCATCCGTTTTTTTACGGGAACGGGAAAGGGACGGGAAAAATAATCACGTGGGCATGCGTAGTATAAATTTTAATATATCCGAAGGAAAACTACGCATGCTCACGTGATTATTTTTCCCTTTCCTATCCCGTTCCCGTGAAAAAACGGATGAGTGGAAACTCACCTTAACGCCGTGGTAAAAAGTCACTCAAAAAAGTTACTTGAAAACTCGATTAGTTTTATTCGTTTAAACTTGCTAAAAACAAATCACGAATTCACAAAAAAAAAGCGTTAATAGTTCATGCTTTCATGGTTTCAATACCTGGTTTCTACTGATGTAATTGACACATTTCCACTTATACCCACAAAAAGGGCTCAGAAGTGCAACAAAAAAAAAGTTTTACAATCTGTAATCATCAGCAATTTCATAAAAAAAATTGAAATAATATCTAAGTGGGATTGAAACTGTATCTGTGTCTCTAAGGACATAAACCAAAAGTGCAATGTTTGAAAAAGCTAAATAAAAATAAAATATTTTAAATGCACTTTTTTTAAAGACCTATTAATATATATTTTAACAACTTTAAAAGCTCAGTCCTACACTAAAAAAACAATACGTGGATAAGATGGACCAGAGACTCTTACATTACCAACAAAAAATGTTTTTTAACGCCTTTTTTCATTTTTGTTAAATGTTCAGTTTTGAAGCAATTCTGTCCCACTGTGCGTCGGATGGTCTATATCAGTAGCTAAGTAATACATTTTTAGGTTCATTGTTTAACATTTACTGAAAAGTTAAATTTTTTTAATGCCGTCTGAAACGCTTAAATCATTCCTAACGTAATGCGCAATGGTTTCCTTCACGTAAATAAGAATTCTGGCACCGCGTTAATTTGTGTGAGATAACTTTTAAACAGTTAATGTAAAGTTGCACGTTCTAACATCCAGTGCACTAACTCTATGCTATCTTTCTAACTTAACTTTTTTTGTTTTTCACTGTCAACCCTAGTTCTAGGTACCTTTAACTCTTCCTATTCGATGGGTTCACTCAACCACTAAATCGCTGGCAATTTTAAGCTGATTTTTAAGATATTTTTAACTGTTCTTGCACAGTCATTCTACGTTTCATGCGTTGATGTAATTAAAAATATATGAGCAGTTTATTTTAAAAGTGGCATTAGTCATTTTGAGTTTAAAGAGAGATATTAAATGTTTGTTTTCTAACATATACTGTTATACCGCTAACTAGCAAAACTTCTTTCCAATAATTTTCAACACGATTGGTTTTAATTATTCACAAATGAAGAGATAATTGTAATCATTATTATCAAAAACGTGATTTTTCTGAAAAGGTGGCTTGGCCAGTTTCAAACGGCGCATATATTGATTGATTTATCTCGCAGAGATAGTATACTTTTAATAAAATGACATAGATCCTGACATTAATATTTTTGACAAACTTTTAATCAAAACTAATTATTATAATGCCAGTGAAGCTTCTATATATTTCTTAAGTTAATTAAAACCAACAACAAAAAGCTATGTTTATTACACATGCGTGTTTTTCCGCTTAAATAAGTAAAGTAGGAACCTTTTAGAACAATGTATGATAAAATCCTTTAGAGCAATTTTGCAAATGAAGGAATTTGTTCTAGCGATTAGAAAAATAATTTTTTAGAGCGATTCTTTTACTTTTATACTTTTTCATACTTAAAACATAAGGGAGATAATTGTTCCAGTTTCAATTTAGCGCAATGTTAAACTTGAAATTGAAATTTTTATTTTTGACGGAAAAAAATCTTTAAATGTCAATAACAATATACGTTATACAACTTAAAAAAAAACTTCCTTAGTTCTATAAAACATTTTAATTTGAAACTAAAGTTACTTTTAAAAAAGTTATTTTTAAAAATTAAATTAAAAAAAACCTCAAGATTTGTTTACTGTTTAATTGCAAAAATTATAACTGTTTTACATGACGCGGAAAACCGCAATTGACACCATAACCAGTTAAAGCGAAACTCCAACTTCAGCACTATTTAAAACATTATTAAAGTTTAAAAGTAACTAAAAATATGTTAATTTGATAAGCACAACGAATGAGTGAACAATTCTCAGAAAACCGCAGAATTTTGTTGATTTTTCCAGATGTTTCTTAAAATAACCGATTATTAATGACGTTATCTCAAAAAAGATATAAATATTTGTTTTGATGTTAGCAATTGTAAATCGCAAACAAAAGAATTCAAAAAAGCTCGGTAAAAAAAGATCTGGTAAGAACTATTTCAAAATTACTTGTTATTAAATTATTATTTTGTTTCTTTGTTAGATTTTTTTTTTTCTAGTTTTCTTGATTTTTGACGGTTTTATTTATTATATATATATATTTGACAGTATATCTATTAATAATTGTTTAATTTACAATTATGCAAAAAATATTTCATAAAAATAATTTTTTATCTTGGTTTTAGCCTTTATTTAAAAGGTATTAGTATTAGTTGGTATTAGCCTTTATTTAAAATTTTTATTTATTTTGCGATTTTTTTAAAGAAAGAAGAAAATGTCTTTGTGGCACGTCCCTGTTCATAAATATTTTCCAACCGATCCATTTTTGGACGATATCATGGAGATTACTTTTCCTCCATTGAGATATTATCCTTTATTTGATATCGGAACGAATGTCCTTCCAAAAAAAAAGTCATCTAAGAAGGAAGATGGCTTTTATGCCAATCTTGATGTGAAACACTACAAGCCAGAAGAAGTTACTCTTAAAGTAGAAGGTAATTTTATCAAGGGCTATTTAATTACTATTTTATTAAAAACTGTCTAATAGAAAGTTAATGAAGTAACAACTCGGTTGTAACTTCATCAACTAATCTCGCTTTATCAGTTATTTTGAATTTTGCTGGAACCGTTCCTTTGTAAAGTAAAAACAACAATTTAAGCAATAGTTTATGTATTGAGCAAAATAACGGTCTTTTGATTGTTGATATATTTTTCATTAATTAAGTTGCTGAATTGCAATTTTTCATGATAGCAGTCTGCGCAGGTTTTTAATGCACTTTTTTATTAAAATTTGTTAAGAAACTTAAAACTTTATGTTATAGCTCCTCCTATTCATTGTTATTTCTTGTTTAGGCCAAACTCTTGAAGTAAGTGGAAAACATCGTAATGAAAACGAAAACGGATTTGAATGTAGTGAGTTCCATAGAAAGTATACTATTCCAGATGATGTAGACCCAACAGCTCTTACTTCAAACATTAGTCAAGATGGCGTATTGCATATCGAAGCTCCTAAAAAGCTACCCGTTACGCCTGATTCTGGAGAATCAACAAAAGAGACATTTAAATGCGCTTTAGATGTAAAAGGTTTCAAGCCGGAAGAAATTTCGATTCAAGTAAAAGGTAGAGATTTAGTTGTTCACGGCGAATCCAAAACCGAAAACAGTGGCGAGCATGGTCTAAGTTTTCACCACAAGCAGTTTACGCGAAACATATCTCTGCCGGATGATGTTGATCCAGCTCACTTAAGTTCTCGTTATACTAAAGACTCTAAGTTAACGATAGAGGCTCCGCGAGGTCAAGTTCAGGCTCCACTTAAACTTGAAATAAAAATGGAAGAATAAAGTTTTCTTAAACTTTCTTGACTTTTTATTTTAACAATGTTGCATTTTTTCTTTTGGCATTTTTACTTCTTAATTTATTAACTGATGTAAAGCTTTCTTATTTATTTAATTATTATGTTGAAAATTTTGTTGTTGTTGTTGTCCCCCAATACCCAAAGGGGCCACTACAGTTGAGGAGACTTATTGCGGTTACAATCCTCCAAATTTAAGTTCAAAATTCGAACTTTGACGGAAAAAGCCGCTGAGCAGAGAAGCAAATTATGTGCGGCATTATTAGTGACGTGACGTTAGTTTCGAACTTCGAATTCTGGCTTACGAAGCTAGCGCTCTACCACTACACCGCTATCTTAAAAAAAAAAAAAGAGTTTTTAGGAATTTCTACAAAAATTTATCAAAAGAATAAGGAAAATCTGTGTTTAACATCAATTCTTTTTTTTTGATCTTCCATTTTTGCAGAACATCGCTGCAGCCGTTTTTCAAAACGGCTTAAGGTAAGAAAAAAATGAATTTTGATTTTTTACATAACAAGCTAGTTTAGATGCTTACAAACGTTATTGAATAAATATTTTCGAAGAATTATAAATAAATTTATAAAAGATTTTAGTTTCAAAAAACGTTTTACAAAGAGTTTCTCCTAATCATTTTTTTTTTATTTGCGTTTTTCTCGAAATACGTAATAAGCATTTAAATGCGTTTTAATTAACGGCTGCAGATTGATAAAATGAAAACCTCAGAACAATTTAATAAGAATTTTAAGAAATAGAATCTTTACCAAAGACTTACAAAATAGAATTTTAAGTAAAATACAATCTTTTGATCTTGAACAATGAAGAAATAGCAAAGTTGTTAATATATGTAAATCAAAACATAAAAAGGATTGGATTGGTCAAATTCAAAAATAGTTTAGTGTACAGAGCAATTTTTTTTTATTTTTTTCTCATATACTTATATGAGAAAAAAATAGAAAAAGTGTAAGTGTCTCAATATAAACAATACAAATCATTACTTACTAGCAGTAAGCAACCCGTAATACGCGTTGTTAGTAAATAAAATTAAAAAAAACCGCGTATAGAAAAGCCTAGCAACTACTTTAAAATAGAAAAGCCTAGAAAATGACGTAACTCGACTAATTAAATTAGCGTATTCATATTATCAGATAACGATCATTTAATTTTACATTGAACATTGTACATATTCTTAACGGCGAAATAAATGAAACTACTACTATTACTACTACTACTACTACTACTAATTGTTAAAAACAAGTTTTATCTAAATAGGGATGAGATAATATATAAGTAATATATATAAGAAGTAGTTCCAGATTTATTTTCAGTGATATTAATAATGATAATTATACATACAAGGCCGGCGCGATAGGGGTGTGTGGGGGAGTGTCACCTCCTCCCCCCATCAATGATTTTTAGTCGGCAAATTGGACCCTTTTAGATTAGTTAGTCGGCAAATGTCGACCCTTTCGTTATAGGTTAGTCGGTAATCTAGACAGTCGGCAAATGTCGTAATGGCAGTCGGCAAGTTTTGGAAAATGAGGACCTTTTTTTTTTTTTTTTAAGTCGGCAATATGTATTGGAACCCCCCACATGACACCTACTGGCCCCGGCCCTGTATACATACGTTAGCTAGTATTACTTTCCTAAAACGAGGGATTTTAGTCCAGATCTAATAAGCAAGAGGGCAAGGGGGAAGGGGGTCTTAATAAAGAGGTGGGTAGGAGTTTTTTACAGAACACGAATAGATAATTTAATTCTAGCGTGGTTCGGTCAAATGCGCCTTTTTTAACAGCTGTTTTAATATTGCTTATATAGTTTTATATTATGGTGAGAAATGAACGAAAACTTAAATTTTGAATCAAAATTTACAAGATTTTTTAAAAGTCAACGATTTTTAAAGTTACAGTTATTAATTGCACTAAAATTTTTTATCCTAATATTATATTGTAAAATCGCTTAAGTTCGGTTACCATGTAACTTTGGTTATTTAAGAAAAATATAAAAAAAGCATGCCAAACTCAAAATTTACAAACATTTTTTCCTCAAATAATATTTGTAGGGTAATGCGGGGCAAAATGAGACAGCGGTGCAATATGAGACATTTTGCGTTTATCATGATGCCAGCCCTACAAATTATTATTTCCATGATTTTTAAAAGTGCAGTTGTGTTCAAAAACTATTTTGTGTCATAAAAAAATATAATGAGTCACTTTAAAAAAAAAGTTGAGTCGAAGGGGAATCATTTCATCCCTCGGCTTCGCAAAAATTACGAATTTTTAAGTGTTGTTATTATATTTTTTCCTAGCCTTTTTTAATCTCACTGAATGGAAAAGCTTTTTATATTTAAAGTTTTTTTTATTAGATTCTTTAGGCCTTTTTCTTTCATTTCCATTCTTTGGTATTTTATTTTTTCAATATAATAGTCTGGAAATTAGGCTATTTGATGCCAACATAATGAGGGGCAAAACCAGACACTCTGTTTGTATTTTTTTTTTTTTTTGCCGATATCTAATATTATGTTTATTTAATTTTTTACATTAAAACAACAAACAAAGCAAATATTAATATTTACATGCTGTAGATTTAAATTTATTATACTGTATTTACTTACTTTTTATTTTGTTAATTGAAATTTTTAGTTGTTATCCAATATAGAATTACGTTTTATATTTTGTTAACTTATATTTAAATATAGTAAATATTTAATCAAATTGAAGCAAATAATTGCCTGATGTTTATATTTACTATGTTTGTATTTTATAATCTTATTGTATTGTATATGTAATTGTAATGTAATAAAGTAAGTAGTATATAAAATATATAGTGAGTAGATTATAGCATATAGGTTATATATGCTATAATCTACTCACTATATATTTTATATATATAATCTACTCACTATATATTATATATATATATATATATATATATATATATATATATATATATATATATATATATATATATATATATATATATATATATATATATATATATATATATATATAAATTAATATGTATATATAGGAGAGAAGTCAATGTTCAAAATGCACAACCTGTGCTCATTCGGACTGTTTTTCGTTTTAAAATACTGGTCAATATGTGATTTATGCGATTAGTGACAGTTGTGATATGCAATACGTGATTTATGCGATTAGTGACAGTTTGATTATAGCTGTAATATATTATAATAGGTATTTCTTGCTAATCCTCTTAAAGATCTGTTTTGTTTAACTTTATTTATTTAAATTACTAAAAAAAAAATCTGTCTCATTTTGCCCCGGTATGCGGGGCAAAATGAGACAGGATAGGTGCTGTCAATAAATGATCTCTGGTGACCAACCACTGCAGTTTTGCAACTCATATTTAGTAAGCTTCAAGTAGGATGGAAGAAGAATTGAAAAATATCCAATTATTTTTTCAAAAATTGTTAGATTATTAGATAAATTAGTGCTTAAGTGTCTCATTTTGCCCCTCGTTACGCTAATTAGTTCGTAAATATGAACATATAAATAAAAATAAAAATGTTTATATGCAACCTGCTGAAATAATTCTTTAGCAAAACAACAATTTGAAAAAATGCATACTAATAAAATCTAAAATAATCAAACTATTAAAATAAATGATCAAATTTAATCTTATTATTATTATTAAGAATCACCAAAGTACAAAAAAAAAATTATTAATTTTTGTGAAATGTTGGTAAGTGTTGCTAATGTAAAATTTACCGGTAACTTTACCTGTAAATTTACCAGTAAATTTTGACATTTTTAAAATGCATACACACTATAGTATTTTAGTTGAATAAAAAATTTGTTCATAATTTCAAAATTAACTGAGGGTTCTTTGAGCTCTTAAAAATGTCAAGCTTGTGACATTTTTTTCAGATAAAAATAAAACTCAACGACAATTGTGGATGCGTTGCGATTGGTTCTTGCTATGTTCTACTATGGTCAACGGTACATGCAAGAATTCCCAATAAACATACGCAGCTCATTTAAAGCAAAGCAGTGTTTTTTTTTTGTTAATTGAAATAAACCTTTTTAAATTAATTGAAAAATACATTTTAAACTAGGGTTGTTCGCCGAAAAACAAAACTTGCGAAAATTTCGCATCTTTATCTACCGTAATAGAATTGTTATTGCGGAAGTTGCACATGCAAAAATGCACATTCCGTAACGCGCTATACGAAAATATAAATAAATAAAATTCCGTAATAAAGCATTGCGAAAAAAAACTGGCGAAACAAATCATTTCGTAAGAATACTTACGAAATAGTTCCTTACGGAAAAAGCATTCCGGAATGTGCAGTTACGAAAAAGACGCAAAAGATTTTATGTTACGATATATTTAAGATACTAACTGTTAACAGTTTAAATAATAAATCGCGAGGTTAGAATTATTTTGTTCTATCTCCACTTTTTGAAAAAAATGAGTTATTGTGTCATATACCTAAAAATATTGTTTTTCTACTATATTAAAACCTAAGTTAAAATCAAAAAAGTTTCGGACAAAACATAAGTAATAAAAATCTTTTTATATGCCGTCTCCTAAAGTTTTTATTTTTTAAATCGTTTTATCTCGAAACAAAAAAATGTGGAGATAAAAAAAAATAATTTTTTTTTTTTTTTTTTTTTTTGTCTTTTATCAAAGCTTTACAAATACGTGATCATAAATATAAACTAGTTCGTTTACATTGTATAAAAAAAATACCGTACATACAATAAGAAAACTTTTTTTAATACAAATAATAATATATATAAAAAAGTAACACTGTTAAAAGACGCGGGAAACTTGCAGAAGACCATTTTGGTCTTGTCATCAAGAAACCGCTTTTAGTTGCGATATTTTGTATACTTAATTTATTAAGAAATTTCAGTTTGTCAAAGTCTCATGGTGGCATAAGAGTCACACATAAAAAGCTACTAGATAATCAAAAACAAAAAACGGAAAAGAGCTGTATTTGATACACATAAATATATAGTTACATGGTTTGTTATACTTAGTATATTGACATGTACGAAATATAAATAAAATCTAACATTTACTTTGCTTTAAAGTGGATTTTTTAGGGGTTTTTAGTTATTTGTTTTAATATACGTTTGTAAAATTG